TTTCTCCTGATACCCTTTCACCTTCTTAAAATTGCTTTTTTGTGCTTCCACCATTTTCTTATCCATTTCGCTAAGAACGTTCCATTTTTCCGGACCAATAGCACGCCTCAAATACTCCTCGTTCAATTTCCTGAAGTCTGCTTCCAGTTGTTTGAACGTGTAGGTTTCGATTTCGTGTTCGATTTTTGCTTGAATTGGCGCGAATAGTTCTTGGTACAGTTTGGTGCAATATTCTTTCGAGAGAGATCTGTTTTTACGGATGAACTCGAGTAATTCACCTCCACAGACTTCCATTCCTTCGTATTCTTTTCGATTGCCATGAGCATCCATTGTGAATCCTTTCTTTTTGCGTACTTCAACTAAACAAAAATAGCGAAACCTAGTTTTAAGACGGTTTGCTTTATAAACATACTCTATAATCAAGGACAAAATATCAGACATGGTTTGTTCCCGGAATCATTGCCAGCCTAGATCGCGCTATTCTAGCTAATTAGTTTTTCAGATGACAAATCTCGAGGGATCATCCGTCCTTAGCATAAATCAGGCAACCTCGTACCCAGGGCTTTTGCGCGGTTCAGAGGCTCTGGTATGGGAATACCAGAGCCTCTGAATCGCGCAAAGGCCCTGGGTACGAGGTTGTAAATCAGGCATTTAGGCTACGTTGACACTATACCGGATAGCTTTCCATAGCGGCGGGAAAAATCACCTATCCGATACGGATTGTACAACTTTCAGAAGCTGAGCGAAACAACATCTCTCAGTTGCAAAAATTCCTCTGAAAATAGCGTTCCTAAAAGGTGTTTTTCACGTCGCTACGGAAAGCTATCTGGTACAAGTGTAAACGTAACCTTAGTTTAACATTTGTGTGAGAGACCACGGAACTACGGAAGTCAGCTAATGCCGTATTTATGAAGACACATAGACGGATCATCTGCCAAGATGATCTATACGCTCACTATGGTTCGTTTGTGGAGACGAATATAATTACGCAGACAGTTCGTCTCAAACTGCGTTTATACACAGATGACTGGGTGATTTCAGCTATAGACTGAATTTTGATCAAGGCAAGAAGAACAAAATCCAACACCACAGCTAGAAAGAGCGGCTTAGAATGAGTAAAACTGCAAAGTTTGGTTGCAAAATGTTGTAAAATGAAGAAAATATAGCCCTGAGAAGTTCGCAAACTTTTGTATGTATAACTACGCGTGGTAAAAATAAACCACTTTCGCCTCAAAAATACGCCTTTTCCCGCGCGTAATGCAAATATATACAAAATTTGCGAACTTCACATGGCTATATATTTTACAACATCCTCATTTTACAACAATTCGCAATCAAACTTTGCAATTTTACTCATTTTAAGACGCTCTTTCCAGCTATGGTAATGGGTTTCGTTCTTCTTGTCTAGATCAACGTTTCGTCTAGCTGGAATCATCCAATACACACAGAAGACAGACGAACAATATTTTCTTTACACAAGTTTGTCCAGACGGATAATCTGTCGCCAGCATAAATCAAGATAATTCAATATGTCTTACTAATTTTCTTCTGAAATATTTTAACCAATTCTTCACTGTTTTTCTTCAGGTCTTTGATATCTCCTGCGCCAAAATGCGCCACTTTATCAAGCAGTTCTTTGGTAATAGCTTTCAATATTTGATCATGAAGTCCCATCAGGGTTGCACCTCTGGAAAGAGAATAATTAATGTAGTAATATATCGGATAGAAAACCAGTGCAACACAAAATTAATCCATTAAGTTGTATTATACCCAAATGCGCTCTACATTATAATTTTACCGTGTCTAACGGCAAACGATTTTACTCGTCAAGGGGAGAGTGCGTAATCAAATAAATTAAAGTAAGATACCGCTGTTGACCGCCGGCATCTTCTTCCAAGGGATAAGTTCTTCCACCGCGAACACTGGCAGCCTGGATTTTTTCCTGAAGTAAAATATTTCATCAATGTTAACTTGAGCTTTCATACATTTCCACAAACCATGAAATTTAATCTTAAATATTTAATGACAAAGCATACCGTCATAGCAGTTTTGTATTTCTTGATCAGTTCATCCATGGTTTTTGTTCTCAGTAAATCAACAGTATTTTTCCAAGCATTGTCAAGACAGGGGATAGCATTAGGATCATTGACTGCAATGAGGTACTCCTTGAGTAATCCACACAGCAAAGTGCCTGGAGATTAGAAAATGTATGCAATTACGTATGCAAGTAGGTAGTCAAATAGATAGTTATGTGGGTAGATAGGTAGGTTGGTGGATAGGTAGGTAAGTTGGTTGGTTGGGTAGGTACGTAGGTGGGTAGGTAGGTATGTAAGTAGGTAGTCAAATAGATACTTATGTGGGTAGATAGGTAGGTATAGGTATGTAAGTAGGTAGTCAAATAGATAGTTATGAGGGTAGATAGGTAGGTAGGTATGCAAGTAGGTAGTCAAATAGATAGTTATGTGGATAGGTAGGTAGGTAGGTAGGTATGTAAGTAAGTAAGTACGTACGTAGGTAGTGGTTAGGAGGATAGGTAGGTAGGTAGTAAGACGATTCATAAAACTTACCAGTTATTACAGAGCCCTTTTGGTAGCCATGTTTAGCACCATTCGTTTGAACCTTTGCAATCAAATGTGCCATGAAATCCTGAACTCCTTTCTGAAACTTTGGGTTCAGATCATTTGTATGTTGTGCAATGTTTTGCATTATTTTTTCATCACTGTGCGGTGTAGGGAGAGTCTTGCATTCAATATCGGGGAAGAATGTTATTATAGCTCGCCCCACTTCGTCTGACTTGTCTGTTTTGAAACCTCTGCCCCTCGAAAGTACCTAAAATGTAAAGAAAAGGATAATGGAAAGGAATTTATGTATGCTTGATAGCATTACCAGTTCTAAACTGTCCTCTCCAGGGGTCTAGTAAGGTCAATCTCTTGTTGGTACAATATTACGACAAGATGACTTTAGGGGGTGGGGTAGGGGGAGCCCAGCTTCCCTTACGATTTTTACCAAGACTGAAATAATCTTCGATATAACAAATATTTGCTAGTTGGTATTATTGTACAGTTAAACTTCATAACACCACTTCAAATGCAGGAAATAGTTTTTAAGAGAGCCTACAGTCTAGAAAGTCTAGATGAGGCCCCTTGTTAAAATCTTAAGACTACACCACTGCCCTACAGGTTTAGTCTATATTGGTCCAGTGCTATTGCAAGACCAGACCGGGCGGAGTCTCTGAAGAAAAGCCGACTTGACATGGGTCTGACACTAAATTAGAATCAGAACAATACACTAATTAATTGCTGGAAATAACTAAAATATCCATTAAAAATAAAATGAATATATGTAAATCAAATACCTTTTTCTTGATGTAATCAGTGGGGTCCATTTCCCCGCCCTCGCCATCATCAGAAGTTATCAAGCTAACATCACGAAGTAACCAGATGAAATGGGGAAAATATTGCGAAATTTCCCCTACTTCCATTTCATGATTCCTCTTCACTTCAAAGCCTTCTGCCAAGCGGACGAAACAACTAAAAATGGTAAATGAAGTTATATATACACACTCACACAGAACATGAACAGTGGTGATTGTGTCTTTCATTTCTGGAACTCCATGTGGTTCAATGGATCATTTCCCAATTAACCAAAATTTTGAACTCAACAAATCTAGACAAAAATTTCATCACAGCTTGAAAGAGCATCACAAAATTAGTAATATTCCAAAGTTTCGTTGCAAAATGTTGTAAAATGCGCATAATATAGCCTTGCGAAGTTTGCAATTTTCAGTCATTTTAGATTACAAACGGGAAATGGTTACCACTTCTGTGCGTGATACAAAATGACTGAAAATTACAAACTTCGCAAGGCTATATTATCCGCATTTTACAACATTTCGCAACGAAACTTTGGAATATTACTAATTTTGTGATGTTCTTTCATGCTATGATGGAATTTTGTCTAGACTTGTTGAGATCAAAATTTTGATTAATTGGGGAATGGTCCATTCCTGTCGTGATATTCAGTTTTGTTACTATAACTTAGCAACATTAACAGCGCAAGTTTTCACCAGGTACTCTAGATTCTTCCTCAGAGTAAGAGATGGCTCTTACTGGAACTCTAGCAATTTGAAAATGACTGATGCAGCTTTTCAGTAAACACATTTAAAGCTGGTTTACAGTATCAAAGTTTCTCGCAGCAAGTTTTGAAGAGTTTGTAAACAGTGTTAAACACCAATTTAGTTCCCACAAACATTTCTTGTAAATCTTTCAAAACCTAAGTTTAGCCTACGCAAATTCCTACTGTGATCACAGAAACTTTGATACCAGCCTTTAGTTTTAAATTAGTTTAGTTTAGCCTCCACGCTGCCTCATAATAGTGACAAAACTAAATAAAGATCATTATGGAAAACGAAAAAAGTCAATTGGTTGTATTTATGCATGCAAGTCACGTCAAATGCAAAAATAGTTCTAAGTAAAGGAGAAAGTTCTGATTTTATGTTAGAAGACAGTTCTGATTCTATGTAAAGCAAAATAGATGAGACATACTCCAGTTTCTCTAAATCCTTCTTGTACGGAACATTCTGCGAGTTATAAATCAATATGGAGGAAATCAAGATGGTCAACACAAGGATTCCAGCGTCTTGAGAAACATTTGCACCTGGAGCATCTGTGGACACAAAAAGAGAAAGTACAAAATGGAATTGGTAAAGCCACTGAGACGCACAAGTTACGACGGACTGAACGGATACAAACTTATATAACTGTAATAATTTTCTGACGACAGCACGCTTTGCCATATTTCATTTAAAGACAAATGTCTTCGTTCCCACATTGAAGAGGACGAAAGCTATTCAATTACAACGGTACATGTGTGTTCACCTCTGAGATCAGGGTTTGATTCCTGCAATTTACAGTTGTCTGATGATAAAAATGTTCAGTTCTATTCTACCAAATACCGCAGGCGTTTTTCTCGCAATAACAAAGGTTCAGTAAAGGAAGGTGATTGGATCTAGCCAGAATAGTTTGACCTGATAGAGCTATCCACTTGTTAGTTTCATTTCACTGATATTAATCCTTACCAATCCCTTCTGTATCCAACAAGAGGACAGCTTGTTCTTTTCCATTTTTATCTTTTCCTACAAGAATCTTCGTTCCCATCCATATTCCGAAAGTCTTCGGATCAAACGTGTGCCCGAGATCAAAAGCATCCACTTCACCTAACAATCTGAAATTAAAACACAAGTGCATACCAAAACAAACATTTTCAGTTTTTGTGAATAAAACGAAAGTATCATGAACGATAATAGGAAAGTGAAAGAGGGAAGGAAACAAATTAAATATATATAACTACTAATTATGACAAAAATATATAACTACTAATTATGTAAAACTACAATCCAGGCCAAAATTCATGTGGACACTTAATCCACTTTTGCAAAAATCCTAACAAAAAGAAAAAAAATCCTAACAATCCAATCCAAATCCAATCTTTTTTTTCTCCAATCTTTTTTCCCTAACAATCTAAAACTGGACTTTATAAATTACACGCATATTCCCCACCCCCTCTTCAATGTTGCATATCCCCACCCCCCTCTTCAATGTTGCATACCCCTACCCCTCTTCAATGTTGCATACCCCCACCCTCTTTCAATGTGCATATCCCCACCCCTTCTGCTGTTGCATACTCCCACCCCTTCAATTGCCTGCATCCCACCCTTCAATGTTGCATACCCCCACCCCCTCTTCAATGTTGCATACCCCCACCCCCTCTTCAATGTTGCATACCCCCACCCCCTCTTCAATGTTGCATATCTTCATTATCTCCACTTCTTATTTGATGAAAAATTCCATTCAACATTGACTTGGGGGAGCGGGGGGAGTATTCATCATTGGAGGCCAATGTCTGTGGGTTGCCCACAACGTTTTGGCCCGGATTGTATATAGTTTCTGATTATAATCTCAGCTCAGTTGCATGTGAAGACTGTTTCAGTTCGACTTTATTAAAATCTTGTATGTTTTCTAAAAGCACTCCCCTTTTTATTGTATACGGGGGATTGGACCTCTTCTAGTAAGACAATGATAAATATATTTTCTCACACACCGCTGGGAGGTGCTGCAGCGTCAGCCGCAAGCATGACATTTATTAAAACTAACATACATTACAATTGCTCGCTACATAATTACTATAACAAGTACATAATAACATATACCCAATCCAAAGCCGTTCTGTTCCCCTACTCTCTACTAATAAACATAATAGGGCTGGGTGGGTGGGATACTGTCAAGCCTCGCTGAGCAACAACAAAAATATGCTCATATAACCTGCACCACCCTGTAACACCCTGATTTCATCAGGCCCCCAGCAGTGTGTGAGAAAACATTTTCCGCTTCTTTCGTGCCTCAGCCAGCGGAAAATAACACATACATTTCAAGCGCAGGACTCGCGCATGCGTAATGTAATTCACGGTACTCATTCTAGGAAAAAGCAAAAATTTGACGACGAGCCTTCGTCTAAAATGCTAAATATGTATTTGTATTTATATTCATATTGAAAATTTAAATGACCCCGAACGACTTACCTTGATAAAATATAAGACTTTCCCGTTCGCATTGGTCCACATATCGACAGAACAGCCAGCGGTGATGTAACAGAACTCAGCAACTCCAAAGCTTCTGGCACCAGATACAAACTAGTTCGTTGGACACCAGCTTTCTTTATAATACTTTTCGTCTTTAAATCATACTCGTGATCGTTCGGGAGTATAAGAGGAATCGAGGAATCATATTTGCCCGCATTATCGGGGTCTATTGCTTGAATTTTGTAGCCAGAGTTCTTTAAATGGTTTTGCAATGCGGCGGACGACATTTTATGTCTTGTATATTAAAATACCACACGACAAAACAAGCTAGTGTTTAGAATCTTGACTTTTATACTGCACTACAGCGAAAGTGAATTCTTGCAGTTTCGCTTCGCTGGAAATGACCCAGCATTTATAAGCAATTGCGAAATGGAATTCCCTTAAGGGATTTTCCCAGTATCCTGTAGTCTGTACATCAATTATTTATTTATAAACCAATATCTTATTCATGATTAAGTTCGTTTTCAATTTCACTTTAAAACGGATTAAGTTTGAAGGTAATTTATTATATTCACATAAAAGCAATGTATAGTTTAGATACAGGTTGAGGATTAGTTTTAAGGCAGCATGAAGTAACATATGCATTCCATGAACTGATATTTGATATGCATGCTGTGCAGTTAATAGGGAATTCCCAGTATCATCACAGCAAATATAATAAAATTTCTCAATCTGAACAAAACATTCGTCATGTTTTGCAAATACTCGCAAATACCACTATCCTGCCTTCATTATGTTGCTACAAATAATTCTTATGACTAATTTGTGAGAAAAATGAGTTCACAGACCGAAACAAATTCGACAGTTTAGACGTTTCCGGTCACACAGCAATATATATGTTGTTTCTTTGAATATGCTGATGTCATAAGCATGCACTTTCACTTTGTGGAAGGGATAAATGAGCAAATTACAACATAAATTCATTCTGGTTTCACTTGGTAGAGAAAGCGAGCTAAATTTCTTGTAAGGTAATTTTAAGATTTTATTTCACGAAAGGCAGTTGAATTTATGAAAATTTGATTGTGGTTGATTGATATACGGCTGCAATAAAGCTCGGACTCGGTTAAACGAATTAACGTCTCAAATTTGCCTATTTCACTTTCAAACAATGGAAAAGTTCAAGAAAGTGTCTCTCTTCGGTTCTGGCAGTTCAGAGACATCAGGTAAACCTAGCTCGTTGCCTTTGGTGTTACCAAACAATGTGAAATACGATGCAAACTCGGGCAAATTGACACATACGGCAGGAGTGAAGCGAACTCATTTAGAGCTTGTACCGTCCACTGTAGCTCTGTTGTCAAACGTTCGGGATCCTATCGCTGTTGTGTCTATAGCTGGCATGGCGCGGAGCGGGAAATCTTATATTTTGTCACGTTTGTTGGGCTCGTCTGATGCATTCAGGTTGGGCCATACCATGGACCCGGAGACCTTCGGTATATGGATTGGGACTCAGGTAAGTAAGTCTATAGTCCTGAGTCCAGCCAGACACAAGCAGTGAACTCCACTCTCCTCCGCAGAGGCTTTGTAGTTTGTTTTCTTTCTATGAGTTTGCTTTCTTTTTATAAGGTTGGCTTGCGGGCAGTCGCGGGCTAGGCAGAGAAGTGGGCGCGCGGGGGGTGCCCCGCGAGCTTGGTAGTGCGATTCCGTATTATCTCCAAATTCCCACGATGCCCCCTTTTAACCCCGCGCGCTCGCTTCCGGCCTGTCGCAAGCTCCGCAAGCCAAACTTTAATATAGAAAGAAAACAAACTCATAGAAAGAAAACAAACTACAAAGCACAAAGCCTCTGCGGAGGAGAGTGAGTGAACTCCATGTCTTATGTCGGTATTGGCATTGTAAATATAACTAGATCAATTACCTTTCGATTGTAAACTCAGACGGATGTATCTGAGTATTTTAATAAGGGCCATTCCATTTAATGTCCACCCTCACGGATGAGTTTTTCTGAAGGGTGACTCAAAAAGTCGTTTCTGAGGGTTAAGCATGTCGGCATCCTTTGATCTCTGCGATTTTTCTGAGGGGTAAAGGGAAAATTTACAAATTTCTGAGGGGTGTTTTGTGTCGGCACTTTGATCTTTTTTTCTTAGGGGTTAAAATTTTACGGACCTCATCCGTAGGGGGGGGGGGGTGGATATTAAATGGAATGGCCCTAAAGACTATTATTATTATTATTAAAGTAAATTAGCCTTTCTCACGCCGCCATTTATGGGGTACTTTTTTACCAATCCTGCGACATTTTATAATTTTGTGGGTGTATGATGGTAAATTTACTCTGTAAATAGTTAGTTTGTTCTGAAATATTGCTTTTTACATTGTTATAATCGTTTACGAAAAATTTCAGTACCCCAAAAATGGCGGCGTGGGAAAGGCTAATTGAGTTCACTGGTCACAATGCAGGGAAAAAAAAGGTTTGCGGGTTGGGGGGACTGGATTGAAAACTGTGTTTGTATCAGTTTGTGGTAATCTTCAACACATGTGACAGAACATAAGATTTTTTAAAGGTTTTTGCTTCCTTACACGAGCGCTATGGTGCAAAATGACGCCAAATTAGTTCCCAAGGTCCGTGTTGTGAGCTCAATATTAGTTGACATTTCCCCTCCAGGTTCTGAAGAAAGATGATTTCACAATCATATTGGTTGATACAGAAGGCATTGACTCTGCTTCAGCCGAGAAGAAAAATGATATATCATTGCTGGTGTTGACCATACTACTCAGCTCGTATTTTATCTTCAATACATTGTCTATTCCCAAGCAAGCACAACTGGAAGAACTACAGTATGTATATTATTCCATTTATATTAAAACTAAATGTCCGTCTGGATGAACCAGGGCAAAAGAAAGACATTTCGTCTGATAATATAATAGGTCTTCGTATAAACATGGTAAACATGCAGATGTATTATCATTTCTCAGTCTAGTTGGATTGTGAGCGTAGTTCGTCTACTCTTGGCGTACGCAGTTCGTCTTGATGGATGATCTGTTTTGCGTATAAGTAAGTGGGGTGTGCTAATTATCCTTACTTGCAGCTGAGAGCTAAGCTCAATTGCGAAGCACACAGCTCAACCTGGTGGAGTCGAAGGCTTTCTAAGGACGCCTCTGGCAAGCCACCTTATGACTCATGTCTGATCACGGAGCACAAGGTTAGTTAGGAAACTAATCCCAACTCACCCTGTCAACATTCCTGTGGGAGGAATCCGGAGTACACGGAGAACGTCACGGACTTTCGGTTGCGCTCATTGAACTATAAATAAACTGGAAGGCTAACTGCTATGATGAAGGCCTATGATTTGTGAAGCCAAAATAGTTTTTCTGAGTTATGAGCAGAAATACTTGATCCCAAACGTCGGGCTATATATCAAATTGAAGCTATTGAAAATTGCTATTAGGTTGTGTGATGTTTACTCATAGCTAGGATGATGCGTAGAAATATACTGTTTATACAGATGTAGAGCGAAAACAAAGTAGCGTTTCTTCTTTTGTGTAGATGTTTTGTGCAGCTGGTAAATGGCCTAAGGGTGAGCCGTGAAGGAACTGATGACTACAACAAGTTTCCCACCGTATTTCCAGATTTTCTCTGGTTACTTCGCGATGTCACTTTAACACCAACGGATGCAAAAGGAAATGCGATTGATGCGAAAACGTTTCTACTCGTAAGTGGAAACACAACCGTCAATTTGTTTATATCATTACTGTCTGTTTAAATATCTCAATAGTCAATGTTTCATAAATATAAAACAAACTTTATAATACTGGATAACTCAAACGATTGTTTATCTAGAGGAACAGTATAGATTATCTCTAGCTGGTCCAATGTTACTGCAGGAAACTGCAGGAGGAAACCAAAGTCCCAGGAGAAAACGATTAACATTACTATAGCGCAAATTTGTCCAGAAAACTGCATAGTGCTGCAATGGTACAGAGATGAATGACGCATACACTATTCTAAGGACTGTGTCGCCATGATTCATGTCAATCACGAAACCTACTCACCTATTGCTCGGTGACTTGGTTATGTTTGTTCCATTATTTGCTCATAATGTCAGAACAGTGGTAACTTGGCATGTGAATTTTCTGAAAATGTGAATTTAGTGAATAAACATGTGTTTGTTGATTGGGTCTATTTCTTATGATTTGTTTCCCTAGGATCGCGTCCTCACGCCAAGTGGTGGTTTTGAGGAGAAGCCAAGCGACAAAGTTGCTCGTGCTCTGAAGATGTTCTTCCCGTCCATTGACTGTATCACTCTCCCTCCTCCTTCCGATGACGCCATCATTATGCGGAACATCGCAGACAGTGAAGACAAACTATCACCGCAATTTAAAGCCGCTGTCCCGCGAGTCATTGATCATATCTTCAGTAAAGTAAAGCCGAAAAATGGATACACCACAGGTAGGATGAGTCGGATGTTAATAGCACAGTCACAGAGTAGATATGATACAGACGTCTGACTCAGATCACGTCGGATTGATGTCTCTTACTGGATCTCTGGGGCAGGGCTCGAATTTTATCGCGGCAATTGCCGTAGAGGGAGTACAAAATGCCGTGGATCATTGCGGAAACGACAGAATTTTTTTGCCGTATAGTATAATTTTTATACTATTCACTAAATTACTATATTAATAAAATTAAATTTTTGTTACAGTAATTTGAAAAAATGCCGTGGAAACTGCCAAAATTGCCGTAGACAGCTGTTACGTTCTACGGCAATTTTTAACGCCATTGCCGTCGATTGATTTCAGGGAAATTCGAGGCCTGCTCTGGGGAGAAAGGTTTAGAACTGATAGAGCTATCCAGTATAAATAAAGTTGATTAACTTAGGTTTGCTCCTGAGCAGACCGCCAGCGGACTCCTTCTGGACGTCCAGTAAGAAACAGTTCAGAACTGAAGGCGCTATCCAGAATAAATCAAATTTACTGTCTACTATTATAAATCCTCTAGATTCTCGCGTAACCGGAGCACAACTGGCTTGTATGTTAGAAACTTACTTGAAAGCAGTGAATGATCCGAGCGCCATTCCAGTGATGGAAACGAGTTGGCAAACTTCGCTGAGGATTCTCACTGAACGTTTTCACGACGAGGCTCTGGAGTTGTACAAGAAAGGCATGACCGCTGTTCTGGAGGAACGTGGTCAAGAGCCTCTGGAAGCAGGAGGTAGGGTGAAATAGGGTTAGGTAAGGTGAAATAGGCTTAGGTAAGGTGGAACGGGGGCTTAATAGGATAGATGGAGGGTTGTCCATCCAACATTTCCGAAGTTGATAAACACACAAATTAAACGATCAGGCGATTTAATATGATGAGCTGTTTTTTTGTTCATTTGCCCGGTAATATCCAGTCCACTCTCATGCGACTCTTGTTCTCGTTTGACCAGGGCATTAGTACCGAAGACCGCTATTCTGACAGG